ATGGAAGTAGTTTTATTTTTCCTGCTTAAAAAAGGAATATAACTTTAGGTTCGATCCTTGATCTCTTACACACACACACACACACACACACACACACACACACACACACAATCAGATCCTTTAGAGAATTATAAATAAAAACATAAAATCTAACTGAAATTCCCCAGAGGTAACCACCGCAAACATTTGGGTGTATATCCTTCCAGTCTTTAAAAATTATTATGTAGGTTGGGGATGTAGCTGAGTGTTAGAGTGCTTGCCTTGCACGCACCAGACCCTTGGGATATATATATATATATATATATATATATATATATATATCACATTAATACAAATGGTATCATACAATTTTTTTACCATCTTTTCACCTTTTTATAGATATCATTCCATATTAACAAGCATAAAAATTATTATTCTCTTTTTTGGGCGATGGACATTGAACCCAGAACATGCTGAATACACGTTCTTTCACTGAGTTACACCTCAAGCCCAAAACATTATTTTATATATTTTTATTTTTATTTTGTATTTCAGGGAAGGATCTAAAGGGTGTTCAGGGTCTCACTACTAGATCGGACTCATAGTGATTCTCCTGTTTACAGCCTCCCAAGTGCTGGGATTCCAGGCGTGTGCCACCACACCCAGTCTCATTCGTCATCTCAGTGTGCCCCCAGGGCGGGGCTGGCATGGAAGGCTTCAGGGATTGAACCCCGCGCCCCTGGGCCTGTTTGCAGGTGCTTTAATCTGCTGAGCTGTTTGGCCGGCCCCCAAACCATTACTTTAGATTGATATACTCTATAGGAGAATCCTGAATTGGGCCATTTATACGGGGACTGAGATACAGTGTCATCTAAAATAGAAAATCTAGTACCTCATTTAATTTATTACTGCAGTGCTGGGGCTCCAATGGACCTTATACTGGGCAAGCACTTTACCACTGAGCTACACCCTCAGCCCTGTACCACCCCTTTTGAGGACTTGTCATATAGACAGATTCAGGAGCCTGGCATGGTGGCATGTGCCTGAAGTCCCAGCTACTAGGGAGGCTGGGGTGGGAGGCTCACTCAAGTCCAGGAGTTCAAGACCAGTCTGGAAACATAGTGAGACTCTAAAACAAAACAAAAACAAAATCCCAGCCAAATCATCAAATTAGAAGAAAATACCTACAAAAATATTTCTTGAAATGAGTAATTACTTTAAAACTTGAGATTCTGGGTTGGGGAGATGGCTTGGCGGCCTAAGTGCCTGCCTGGCAAGAGCAAGGACCTGGGTTCGTTCCTGTACCATGCTGGCTCTAGAATCCCAGGCCACTGAAATCGGGCATCGTGGCACATGCATGTAGTCTCAGCACTGGGGAGGCTGAGACAGGAGGATCACTACAAGTCTGAACTGTGTAGTGAGACCCTGTACCAAATAAATAAATAAATAAATAAAAGATTAAAAAAATAGGGGCCGGGGAGATGGCTCAGTAGAATAAGCGCTTGCCTGGCAAGTGCAAGGGCCTGAGTTCAATCCCTGGTTCCACCAAAAACAAACAAACAAACAAACAAAATAAATAAATAAAAAACCGAGATCCCTTTCCAGTAGTGTCTTTATGTGATTGAGTATTTCTTCAGAATAAATTATTGGAAATAATTTTTTGAGTCAAAATTTCAGTAAATAACATTTAATTTTTGTTTTTTTTGGCTTTTTGAGAAAGGTCTCAGTATGTAATTTGGGCTGGCTGTGGGCTTGCAGCAATCTTCCTGTCTCAGTCTCCCAAGTGCTAGGATTACAGGCATGCACTATCATGCCTGGCTAAAATGTTTTAAAAATACAAAAGTAATAAGTGAAAGACAACTTTGCCTGCCGTTCAAGATTCCTATTTTCAGTTCTGCTCTCCAGTGATGACTAGTACTGTATTACAAGTTTTCTTGAAGTCAAAGTTGTTTTTTAAACTTACATGCCAATTTGTTTCCCAAAAAGGGATTCACATTCCCAACAAAACTGCATAACCTCACCAACTGAAGTCTTCTGTCCTTATCTTCACAGTTTTCTTTCTACACCATATGTTGATGACTCCCAAGTCTTTATCTCTAACCCTGAGCAAGCCCTTGACCTCCAGGCAAGTATTTCCAGCTGTCATTTGGACCTCTCAGCCTGCATGTCCTACAAATGACTGGATTTACCTGCACTGAACTCACTGTTTTTCTTCTCAAATTTACTGTTCTGTCTGTAATTCATTTTTTAATTGATGGTACCTCATTATGCCAGTGACAAATGCAAGGTTCATTTTCAATTTTCTCCTCCACCAACCCCTAAATAATGATAGCTAACAGTTTGCTGAACACTTACTATTTGCACACAAAATATTTTATTTTATTAAATTCCCAAAACAGCCCTATAAATGTTATTAGTCATAACATTTTCATTTTACAGTTGAAGAAAACTGTATAACTTGCTGAAGGTTATATAGCTAGGAAGCTGAGATTTAAATACAGACAGCCTTAATCCCTGGCTTACATACTCAAATCCTATATAATACTGTACTACTACCATATTTAGTACAAGTCCTATCTAGTTAATTTCCTTAATCTCTGGCCTATCTTTTCTCCATTTCCACCAGCATCACCCTATTGTCAATACCTTCATAATAACATTTTTTTTAATTTTTTTTACAGTAACATTTAATTTAAGCCAATTTTCCATATTATCTGCAAAATAGTCTCTCTAAAACCCAACTCTGCTCATGTCTTTTTCTTGCTTAAGATCCTTCAGCAACTTCTTTTCACCTATCATAAGGTCTGCTCTGCCCATCCCCAGCCAATCTATCCGTAAACACATTCACCCTGCAATCTGAATTGGTAGGAGTTGCCTGAACACATCATATTGTTTCTTACCACAAGGACTTGGTATGTGCTTTTTTAAATTTCTTTTTGAGACAGGGTCTTGCTATGCAGCTCAGGCTGTCCTTGAACTCACTTTGTAGCCCAGGCTGTTTCGAGCTCTCATGAATTCTCTTGCCTCAGCCTCCTGAGTTCTGGGATTACAGGCATGCACCACCACACCCAACTGTGTGTTCTTTTCTTTTTTTCTTTCTAGCAGAAATTACCTTTCTGCATTTTCACTCTTTTTAAAAAATTTATTTATTTATTTGTGTGTGTGTGTGTGTGTGTGTGTGTGTGGCCAGCTCAGCCCAGCAGGGGGCGGGGCAGCCTGGCATGTGGTGCTGGGGGATTGAACTGTGGTTCCTGTGCTTTGCTAAGCTTGTTCTAAGTAGGTGCTTTAGACCACTGAGCCATCTCACCAGCCCCTGCATTTTCACTCTTATTTGTTCCTTATGTCTTTTCACTTCTGTTAAACTCAGATGGTTCTTTTTCCAGGAAGCTTTCTGTAATTCTTCGTATTATATATGTGTGTCCTATATGTTACTTTTTAACAGTTGTGTAATTTCTCAGTGCTAAGGATTGAACCCTGGGCTTTCTTTCACATTGAGCTACATCTCTAGCTCTTTTAATTTTTTTTAACTTTGAGAAAGGACCTTGCTAAGTTGTTAAATTGACTATGCTGGATTTGAATTTGTGATACTTCAAACTCAGCCTCTTAGAGTTCTCGGATTTTAGGTGTGTGCTACCATGCCCAACTAACATTTTCTGTTTGTCATATTATATTGTTTTGTTATCGCCCTCAATATAATGTTAATTTATTTAAAAACAATGTCTCCTTTATTTATTTTTTTCTTTTTTATGGTCAGCTCAGCCCACCCTGGGGATGGGGCTGGCATGGCATGTGGTGCTGGGGATGGTCCCTGCATCCCTGGACTTATCTTCATCCTCCACATGTTGCCCTGTAAAAGCTAACTCCAAGTTTACGAGTTCCCTGCATGCTTGCCTAAGCAGGTGCTTTAGACCACTGAGCTATCTCGCCAGCCCAAAATGTTAATTTTTTGAGGGCAGGGACTCTCTTATTTAACTCCAGGACTTAAATATTTTCCATGGTGTTTGGCATATGAGTGGTTAATTAGCAGATATTGGTTAAATTGAATTAAATAATTGTGAAATTGTCGGGACTTGTGTTTTGTTAAAAGAATTTCAGGCATCAGTGACATAGGAAAAAATGTTTTTTGAGACAAGATCTGAGTATGTAAGCCAAACTCCTGATCGCTTCAAACTCCTGATCCTCCTGCTTCAGTCTCATGAGTATAGGAGTGTTTGGGATTACAGGCATGCTTTACCACATCCACTGGGAAATATTTTTTGAGGAGCAGAGGGCAGGTGAAGGGTGGAGGAAAAAAGAATAGTCTGAAATTATGACTTGTGTACTCCTTAATGTTATGTGGAGCATGAGCAGATTAGTCTCATAAATATTAACATTTCTATAGATGATTCCATGTAGACGTGTGTTCTATCTCCATTACGACAAGCAAATTTAGGACATTGCTAAGTATGGAGTTCTGCAGGATAGAGATAGAACGTATTAAATAAATGCTGTCAAATTTGCTGAGAAATTAACACCGTGTAAACTTGGAGTTAGCTTTTACAGGGCAACATGTGGAGAATGAAGATAAGTCCAGTTTTCCTGAAAAGTGAGAATAAGAAATCACCTTTGTTTTATTCCATTACAGTTGTTCGTTGCTTTTTTGGCAACGTTCGTGTGTGGCATGAATTGAAACTCAGTGGCACAAGTGGCAAAGCTACATTCTAGGTTCTTGGTAATATTGTTGGAGCCCCACCCTCCAGAGATCACCCTTCTATTTTCGCGGAAAACCCGGATTTATTCAGGTCACGGGGCTTCGGCCTATCATTGTAGAATGCTAGCTTGTGGGGCAGTGCCCACTGCTGATTGATACACCTTAAGGGACAATTTCTTGGGTTCAGGAGTGTTGATTGGCAGAGCCTGCCTGTGGTGCTTCACAGGGTATTGGTTGGCATAACCGAGGATCCAGGTTCCGGGGCAGCCGCCGACATCACCCGGAAGCCTGAATGAGGCCTCCTCGATACAGCAAGCGCGGCCTTCCGCGCTGCTGCTATGCAGGGCACAGGGCCCGGGCCGGCGGCGTGCGCGTGCGTGTGTGGGTGCGCGTGCGCGGCGCCGCACACCGTCGGTTGGTTGCTTATTTTGCAAGCGGGAGGGGCCGTGCGCGCTCCTTCCTCGGCTTCTGTCCCCCACCCCCCTTCCCCGGTCCCCGTCTCTCCTTCGTAAAGATGTCGGACACGGCAGTAGCTGACACTCGGCGCCTTAACTCGAAGCCTCAGGACCTGACCGACGCTTACGGGCCTCCGAGTAACTTCCTGGAGATCGACATCTTCAATCCACAGACAGTGGGCGTGGGCCGCGCGCGCTTCACCACCTATGAGGTTCGCATGCGGGTGAGTCACGGGGTGAGGAGACAGCTGAGGGAGGACGGGACTGGGGCGGGTGTGGAGGCTGCTGTGAGGGCGACTAAGGGCGAAGACGCTGGGAGGGGTCACTTAGGGGTTAGGGGCTTAAAAGGTGTAGAGAGAGGTCTGCAGACTGGGTTGTGGCCCCGGGATACAGAAAACTCCTGAGGGGGACATTGGATGAGGGTGCGGGCGAGCAAGTACCCGCAAGGAAGAAGTGAAGCTCAGGCTGGGCAGGGTGGGGAAGATGGCAAAAGATTAGAGTGAGGAATTCAAGTAGATAGGAATCCTGAAAAGGGCGGGTGGAAGAGGCGCGGGGGGAGGGGGAAGGGGGGAGCCGAGGCAGGACCTCTGGATCCCATAACTAAGCAGGGTTTTGGAAGTCAGTCTGACGAGAGAGGGCTTCATCCTCCGCAGGTCTCCCAGGGGTGATAGAATCAAGCAAAGCTTTGTATTAGAGGCAAAATCGACTCCAGGAAAGAGTGACAGTGGGCTCCTGGTAGCAAAAATAGAAAGGGAGTCCTCTGGAGACCAAATACTCCCCTAAGGTTAACACCTGGAGGACAGAGTTGTTGTATGCTTAAGTTTTTTCAGGTACCACATGCTATGTCTCCCATTAAACCTGGCCCTGCACTGGAATTGTGGATTTTCACTTGCTGCTCCTCTCATTCCGTTTTCTTTTAGGTTTGAAATACCCAGGGTGTTTCCTTCACTATTTCGTGGCTCTCAGATGGGTGCTGTGTGTATGAATGGCTATTTACCTTTTCTATCCTACATTAACCTTTTGCATTCTTATCCTGGTCTGTAGTTACCTTAATGCATGACTTTTCAGAATGAACTGCCTGAGGAGTGGCTTTTTCCAGTGTACACCACAGAGGACTTTATTCCGTAGTGCTTAGGCCAGGGTGTAAGGGTGGAATGCACAGATAGAATACATGGTTTGCAGATTCTTTTGTCTGAAGTGGTTATAGGTAGAAAAAAAACCTTTAAGAACCATTTTCTAGTTTGATGTTTTCTTCTCAGGCTAGAGAGCTAGAATATTCCTTATGGATAGCATCTACTTAAACAGCATTGAGGATCTAAAAGAGTGTATGAATTGAATGAGAAAGTGTGGTCTCCCTTGTGGACTTTGAAATCTCATTGACAAATTATCTCCAGAAGAAAGATGAATAGCAAAAGATGAGAAGCACTTGTCTTTTTTGGTGGTACTGGGGATTGAACTCAGGGTCTCATACAAGATAGGCAAGCACTTTCCCACTGAGCTACACCTTCAGCCCAACATTTGTTTGTGCGTATGTCTCTATTTTTTGTGGTACTGGGATTGAAATCAGGACATTTGCACTGAGCTACATCCTCACAGCCCTAGCCTCTTTTCTTACTTTTATTTTGAGACAGGGTCTTGCTAGAACCCAAGCTAGGCTAAAACTTGCAGTCCTTCAGCCTCAGCCTCCTAGAGGCATGTCACACTGTACCTGGCAATACTTGCCTTATGTAGATAAAAACTATTTGAAGTCATTTCTCTGGGGAAGAATGGAATTTATGTATTTCAAAATATAAAAGGACCTGAAGGTATAGCTCAGTGGTGCAGCATATCACATGCTTAAGGCCCTAGGTTTGATCTCTAGCACCACAGTAACAAGTAAAAAACAAACGATGACAAAAAGAACTATTATTGCTGGAGAACTTAGTGACCTGATGGAAACTAGAGGTAACATGTTTAGTATAAATACCCTGCTATGGGTGTTTGAAGACCTTGTTTGTCCTGTTGCATTACCTCAGTCTTTGGAATTATCAGTGTAATAGCTCCCTATGTAAGGTATTCTAATAATAACAAGGACTGTTAATCTTGTGCCTTTATGTGCCAGGCGTTGAACTAGATTTTAGTGCTAATTTTTATTCTTCCAAAAACCCATTTTACAGATGGCAAACTGAGGACGAATGCAGTTTAAGTAAGTTGTTCAAGTATATATAACTGTAACCAACAAGGCTGAGATTTGAACCAAAATCTGACTGACCTCAAAGCCTGTGTCTTTCCACTATAGTCTCTGACAAGGCTTAAAATTTTCCTACCAAGTTTTTCATCAGTCCCTTCCACAAATGTATAATATAGAGTTGATGATGGTTCCTTGCTTAGTGAGTTTGAGTTAATTTGTGTTGTTTATGTTAATTTGTATGGTTGTATAGGCATTTTCCCCCAGTACTGGGGAATGAACCCAGGGCCTCACAGTGAAGCTATCCCCAACCCCCCTTGTTTTTTAAAAAAATTTTTTTTGAGATAGGGTCTGGGTAACTTGTCCAGACTAGGCACACTCCTGCTCAGCCTCCCTCCTCCACTTCTCCAGGATAGCAGAACCGTAGACATGCAATGCCACATCTGGCTAAGATGTTCATATTTTTATTGAAACATTTGCACTTATTATTATTATTATTATTTTTTTATTTTTATTTTTGGCGGAACCGGGGATTGAACTCAGGCCCTTGCACTTGCCAGGGAAGCGCTTATTCCACTGAGCCATCTCCCCGGCCTATTATTATTTTTTGACAGGGTCTCACTGCAGGCTAGCCTAGGCCGGCCTCAAACTCAGTGCTACTCCTGCCTCAGCTTCCTGAGTGCTGGGATTACAGGGATATTACACCACATCTGTCTCTTACTTGTGTTTATTAAAAAATGTTTTTATTCTGGACTGAGGATTGAACCCTAGACCTTGCCTGTAAGCACATGCTCTACAGTGGACTTCACCCTGGCCCCATATAATCAACATTGCTGAAGCTCTTCTCTCTCATTCTGTTCAGTAAAGAATCCTGTCCTCATGGGGATCTGGAGAGGTGTCTAGGTGACCTCACATTGTGAAGCTCTAGCAGAGCTCCAAGATGCTTTTTTCTTGCCAAGAGGCAGTTGTGGAAAAAGGCAAAAGTTCTCTTACTGCCCATCCAGTGATATGATTTGGTGGGACGTAAACTTAGTCATGATTAATGCATGGGGTTGGTCATTTCTATTTAGAACTTGTCGATAGAAGTAAGATTAGGGCTTTTTGTTTGTCAGATTTCTGTTGCCACTAGAGTCTGGGGAATCTTTTCAATGATTAAGATGTGGGAACGATCCAATTTATATCAAGGAGCAAGCAGTGATAAGCCAATTTATATAGTGGCTATTCTGCATTTTCTTTCTTTTTTTTTTTTTGGTGGAACTGGGAATTGAACTCAGGCCCTTGTGCTTGCCAGGGAAGCGCTTGTTCCACTGAGCTATCTCCCCGGCCCCTCATTTTTTAAATAAGGGAAGGATAAATAGATACATAGGGTTTCTCTTAATCAATTGAGTATTATTGAGTAACTTGTATTTTAAGGGAGATGAAGTAGTCATGGTTCCTGATTTTTTTTTTTTTTT